CTGAAGGACAGCCAGGGATGATGCTTTAAATAAGCTACCGGAACGATGGACGGGACAATCCAAACCCTGAAAAAAACTACTAAAGAATCGACAAGTAGCCTGCAAGAACGATGGACGCCAAAACCCAACCCACACAAAGCCGGCTTAACAAACCTTCAACACGCAGAAGAGCCGAAGAAACTGCGGACGGCCAAACCCAAGCCACAAAGAAACACAAAGGAAAGACAGCAAACCTTCAACCCTGAAACGGCTGCCTTTCGCTAGGACGGAAAAACCTTACCTTGAAAGAACACAAAGGAGGGCCAGCCAACCTTACCTGGCCTGATAGATGCGTGAAACGTCCTAGCGGAACGGTGACTGCAAGACTCAGAAAACGTGATCCTAAGACAATACAAACCTAAACCTTCAAAAAACGGACGGACAGCAAACCTTGAACAACACAAGCGGGCTGTTGTGTGAAAGTTGAAACACCGTGCGGAGCCTTACAAGAACGATGGGCCGCAAACGGACTGTGGCCCCCCCGGGGGCCCAATAGAACCCAAAGGAAGGACAGCAGACCGAACCGGGCTGATGCGTGAAAGATGTTGCAACAACGATAGACCGCAAATGCCGAACCCGAGACCAGCAAAAGGAAAGGACAACAAACCCCGCACTCAAAGGGCTGATGCGTGACAAACCATTCAAGAACAACGGACGGCAAAATCCAAACCCTAGAAGAACACAAGATAGAAGAGCAAGAGTTGAAACCTGATAACGCTGAAAACCTTACAAGAAGGTGGACGACAAAATCCAAACCCTAAGAGAACAGTTTGGAAGGATAGCGAACATGAAACCCTGAAACGGGGTGCTGCATGAACCACGTTACAAGAGCGATGGATGGCAAAAAGCCATGCCCAAAAAGGAAGGATGTTCCAAACACGTTACCACATCGATGGACTGCAAAACCCGAATTCGAACAGAGCAGAAAACGAATCGCTGCAAACATGGAACCAACACCCGAAAAGAGCGATGAGCAATACAAGTCGAGCCCGAAAAAAAAACACAAAGGAAGGAAAGGAACACCCTGAACCCTCAAAAGGCTTGTGCATGACAGGCCCTACAATGCTGTGCAGCAAACAAACGAACCAGGACAGCAAACCTTAAACCCTAAAACGGCTGAAGGGTATACTTCCCACGACAAAAGTAGACTGGCAAACCTTGAATGCTGAAGAAGGCTGAAGAACGTTGGACGGCCCAACCCGAGCCACAAAGCCACACAAAGGAAGGACAGCAAACCTTCAACCCTGAAAAGGCTAACGACGGACAAAAGGAGGGACAGCCAACATTGACTGGCCTGATGCGTGAAACACACTGGCAGAACGATGGACTACAAAACCAAAAATACTCCCCAAACTACACACAGGTAGGACAGTGAGCCTTCAACCCCAAACGGCCTGATGCGTGAATAGCACCCAAACCAAGGACATCAGACGTTGAACCCTGGAATGCTGATGCTTGAAAGGCATCGCAAGAACGACGGACTGCAAAACCCCAAACACAACAAAAACATGCACGCACGCAAGCACAGCACCGGCAGCGAGACTACAGGCAAAAGCACTTTCCGCAATGCCCTTGTGGCTGCGAGTGCTCGAACAGTGTCCCGATGGCGTGTGGGGCGATGCCTGATGCTGAAGGCATCACCCCTTGATGAAACAAAATGAATCCGGTGAGGACTGACAGACAGCAAACCCCAACGTTAAACACAGATGATGGTATGGACAATATGCCCGAAGCTGCATGATTGCATAAAGTCCAAACTCTGACATGAGCTGCGAATTCTGCAGAATTGCATGCCTGCTGGATACCTGGTGTATTGCTGCTGCGCACAAGAACATGAACAGCCACTTTTTTGTCGGATAAGAGTGCTGGTCAGCAGCACTTTCCCGCGACCCATGAAACAAAGTGCGAGTGCTCCGAGTTACAGACATCGCCAGCGTCAGCACCAGGATGGACATCCGCATCGTCAGAGTTCGACTGACCTGGATGTTCATCCGTGATCTCAAGCGGACAACTTGACGAAATAGCATTGCTTGATCTGGCAGCATCTGACGAGAAGCAGACACGGCCCCAAAACAGAAACAAGAATCAAACTGATCATCGTCATCATGGTCATCATCATCTTCTTCTGCTTCGGCGTCTGCCAGCATCTTGGTGGTCTCAATGTTAAACAAGACATCCCTCAAGAAGCACATACTGTGTCACCAAACCCAAATCCTACCACAGCGGCTTTCGATTCGCTGTAGAGCATTTACCATGTAGCAAGACATCCAGGTACAACAAGCACCATCGATGCTTACTGAGCACACGAGTTGAATAGTACAGGTGACAGCCGCACGGAACAATGCGACAACCCACTCTTTCTATCAGCATCATCAGCCATGACCAACAGGGTGCGAGTCTTTGCATGTACACATCACGAAGCCGGAAGTGTTCAGAGAGCTGCTGTATAACCTAGCCACCCCGAGAAAGGCCAAGTCTTCAAACCTCGGCTATTGGGTCCTCGTAAGATGTCAGGACACCGGCAGAAACTCCGGAACCCGGAAGCTCAAAACCCTAGGCCTTAGCCTTCAATCCTGAAATCCCAAAAGCACCTAGCCTTTAACCCTCACCGGGGAAACAGGAAGAAGCAGCCTGTTTTTTCAGGTCGCGTTTTCGGGCGACGCTTTTACCATGTTCAGTCACTTGATTTTGTCATGTGTCCCGGTCGCTACAATTGCACGGTGGAAAGCAAACCGTGAACCCCGATTTGGCATGGCATTTTCGGCCCGGCCCGTCAGTCTCCAGCACTGTCAATTTCACTCTCGAGATGGATGCTCCCAAGCTCTGAGAGCGCTTCTCGGCCGCTTTGATTAGCAGGCCGCCTCGTCCATTTTCTTGACGTCCGGTCCTCGAAAGACGCATGGATGTGTGCGGCCCATGTCCATGTGCGAGTCCGCTGCGAGACTGCGGCTAATGTGAAGGCAACAGGCCGTGATCCCTGCGCCAGTTCGTCAACGACTCTCTCAGGATCTATGTCGTCGCTCATGCGAAGTCAACCCGGGAAACAATGTCTGTTTTGGGTGGGGGTCAGCCTGATCGGAGGCGATTGCACGCTCCGAGCGCTGCAGACGCTTCGAACAAGCACACACATAATACCTTGGCTGTCCGATTTCAAAACCAACCGAAGGTAACATTTAGAACACTCACACACACATGAAACTTCATGTGCCAGTCTATTATATTCCCTTTTCGTGAAAATGCTCCGGGCTCTGCCAGGACATTCGCATTTCGCGGTTGGCGAAGCTCACTGTATTTTTCCCGTCAGGCGGCTGGTGATTGATTGCTTTCACCATAAAGTGTGGCGTCTTGTTGTTTGCCCGAACATGCCCGAATCGAACCCCAACGTTCGATTGAGTAGTCGGCCACGTCCAAGTGACCGCTCTGGATGGCGAAGAAAAGCACTGTCTTCCTGGCCTTCCCTGTAAAATTCACCTCAAAGCCCAGATGCAACAGGAATTTCACGATCACAATGTTGCCGTGAGCGGCAGCCCAGAAGAAACGTGTCTGCCCTATACTTCCTGAAGATTCACTCCCGTTTTTATGCATCGAGTTTGCCATTAGCTCGGAGCCTCGATGCGCCTCGGCCGCATCGCCGCGCGACCAAAAAGAGAAAGTTCGGCTCAGGAGCTGCCACCAGGACAAAGCTGCTTTTGCTCAGACCTTCCTGGTTTCAGCATACCCGCCGTCTGTAAGGATCTCGAACAGCTCATTCCGGTTCAAAGAGGCATCTTCCCGTTCATCCCTCATGATGGCGAAACGCATCTCTTGGCTAATGCCGGGTCAATTCGAGCTTTGAGCCAGAAGCCAGATGAGGAGAGTCATGGGCCAGAAGAAGGTGCAACATGCCACCTGCCTAAACCTGCATACCCATCAGGCCAAGATAAAGCATTGATTTATTGCCAAATCAATCGTAAGCTGAGCCGCTAGGACCCAAGCGCCTAAGGACCTCGTAGGGCCCATAACCACCAGTCCGGTCCAAGCACACAATGCGAAATCTGACAATTCTGGCTCAGACTCTTGATGTTCCCTCATACCGACCGATCTATCAAGATTCGGAGCTGGGTTAGACCCAAAGCATGGTTTAGGCTGCACAGAATATCGGTGCAAGAGTACTGGGCATCCGCACTGTCAGAAGCCGCTCTGGAGGAACAAACGGACTTTGGGGTGTCCTGAAACCAAGAGCGATCGGCCCAAAACAGTCACGTCAGCATGTCCTCTGGCAGAGCAGGGAAGCCAACGTGAACGTCGCGTCCCGGGGGCGACCTGGCCCCGCTGCCAGGAAGCAAAAGTTGCAAAAGAACGCCCTGGACCTGGAGATGTCCCCATGAACTCCCTCCTTCTCGGACGGTGCACTCGGATCCACCACTACCTCAACGAAGCGCTGTCCCAAGTTCACAAGCGCTGCAGATGTTCGATGGGCCTCCATGTCACGCATGTGTCTGTGATACGGGGGGAAGAGGCACCAGCACCTCATCCAAAGGAAAGCAGACACACCTGCAAAACGAATCCGGATGCCCTTGAATGATTGGGCATCCCGCCATCGCTCTTCGCACTCCTGTCAATTACCGGAAACTGCTGTCTGCACTCATACATGCGAAGGAGCTTTTTGCCACACATGGCTGCAAGCCACCAGATTCCTCGTCATGATCAACGCTTTTCTCAACCAGCCTCGCTGCAGAGCTATGTGTGTCGACCCCGTGCGCAGGACTCGGCATCATGTTACTGCTTCAACATGCTCAGCTCCTAACGGTGTGCAGCCGACTGTGGCCCAAGGCTTTGCTAAATGGCAGCCCATGGCCTGGACGGCCAAAACTGCAACTTGCACATCATCTCAGCAGGTGCAAAATTCATGACCTTCCTGCTCTCTGAGCTTGGCACTGCCGGACTCCAATGGACAGGAGACTCCCCACCCAATCATGATGAATTCATGGTGCCTCTGAACTAATGCTCACATCGACGTGAGCATCACACATAGCCAAGGCAAACAATCGTCATCCTGCTCTGACCAGCCATGACAAGCTACTCTGCAGTGTGCTGACACATCCTAGCCTTCTCTGACCTGCAGCACACGATGCCGCAGCTTGTGCTCTCTGTGGTATTAATGGTTTCCTGCATCGCTGGCCTTTGCCAACGTGGGCGAACCTACCAGCCCATTAAGCATGCCTGCGGCACCCCGTAAGTGGCACATCTGTAGCCACTTGGAACAGAAAGGAACAGTGATTCAAATGAGGGCCACGGGGCTCTGCTGTGTACAGACCACTCCTGGCAGCTCTCCAAGAGTGTCAGGAGTCCGAAGTCAAGAAACTGCAGATGCCATGCTCAGCAAACAATACTGATCCACGGCACGACTATCACTAAGGGATTAGGAACGATGCAAGGCAACCGAATTGGCCATCACTGTGCCGGCATCCAGCTTCTATTTCTTGTGCTGCTTCTCGGCCAGCCTGTTTCGGAGGCTGCAACTAACTCGCCGGATGTTGACAAGCTCTCTGGGCCCGATGGAACAATGTGTCCTCGATTTTTCCAGATGCGGGCCACTTTGGGTGTCAAGGTGCTTGCCCGTACGAGCACTGTGAATCTGCATATCCATGTGCACGAGCAAGCTGGCCCCATTTCTTCGAACGGGGAGAGCACTAGCTCACCTTAAAGTTCAAATGGAGGCTGCTGAAGAGTTCTGTCGACAGTACTGATGAGAAAGACGCTGTTTGGCGCATCTCCTCACGCTGCTTCAACAATGTCTACTTCGAATTCCTGCAGTTGTACGTCCTTGGACTCTTTTTGGTCCTTCGGCTCTTGAAACTTCTGCAAACACTGCAACAAAGGAAGATGTTGTTCCGTTATGGCGAAATTCTGAAAGACAGAGACAGCTGCTGGGCTGGCCGTGGCACTGCTTGCACGGCGAAGCTTGGCTGCAAGAGCCTCCGAGGTGCCTACGGACAGAAAGAAAGGCCGATCCTGCACCGCCAGCAGCAAAGCCAGATGAGATGCATGGCTTAGCTGCTTAGAGGAAGCTGGAACTGTCAAGAGGGAACCCGAGGAATCCCATGAATTACCGGTGTCATCCTTTGCCACCTCCACCTTCAAGCAGCGGAGAGACGGGAGCAGGTAGCCAACAGCCAGAAGATCTCGGAGCCCCGTGCTGCAGAAGTGGCGCGAGACGCGGATCAGACCCTCGATGCGCTGCCCGGGCCGTCTGCTCATCCGCCCCAAGGCAATGTTAGGACTTCGCACAAAGAGTCGCTCTAAACCTGGTGCCAAGCGAGCAAGCACGGAGAGGTCGCATCGACAGTGCGCAGAATGCCATGTGGATCCACTGCCCCTCACGACGGCAACAAAGCTCAGGTCACGCAACTTTTGGAGCGGTAAAAGCTCCTCTCCTAAGGAGCCCGAGCCCGAGGTCCCTCTCGACCGGAGCTGTGGGCCCGGCTGCGAGCCCGAGCCCGAGCCCTGCGCTTCCTCCCGGCTACGTGGGGACAGAGCCGCGAGCGGTAATTCCAGGGGCACCGGCACCGGCAGCCGTCGAGAAGCGCTGGAGGCATCTGAAGCCCCTGCAGCCTCTGCAGCATTGGCAACAACCTCAGCATGTCCCTGGCTGCTCGCTGTGCCCCCGGCACTGTTTGCAACGCTGTTTTCATCGCTATCTGCAGCTCTTCTCGCTGTGGTCGCAGGGACGTCCAGCTCGACATTTCGATCCAGCCACACGACCTCATCCTCGGAATCCGTGGTCTCATCACAGGCCTCTGCGTCGATGTCCGAGGCCTCCACTTTCAAATAGTCACACACCAACCTCTCCAAGTTGGGAAAGCAGGCCAACCACGAAATGGGCAGAGATGCCATGTGAGCTCCAGTGTTGTGCGAGAAGCTTCCCAAGTTGAAATACGGGTCGCACTCGATAACCAAAGAACGCAAAGCAGGCATCTGACATTTTGACTGACAGAAATTTTCAAGATCACGTCCTCGAAAACCACTAAGACATAACTTCTCTAGATTGATACATTTCGCGAGCTGGGGAAAGGACAACGAATTGGAACCCAGGCGATTCGGTCCATGTCCGGCAATTCTCAGGCATCGCACGCTTGCTCCGAACCTCTTCAGAAGACGGCTCAGAAAGAGCAAGTCTTCTGGCTCCGGGGCCAGACTCGCCCATAAACAAGGCTCCAAGACAGCCTGCACAAGTAGGCCGAAGTCTTTGCAAGCACTCAAACTGCACTCAGAACAAGAAGATCGCAAGAAAAGCCAATGCAGGCCTCCTGCCAGCGTCGAGATGTCACCGCGCAGCGCAGACGGTCGCTGAGCGAGCTGAAAGCCAGGCAGTTGCAAAGGACATCAAGCGGCACGGGCACCGACGGCATAGACTGTTTCATTAACGACCCTTCTAGCTGTCGACCGCAAGCCGTGCTGAAGCTTTCTCATGCGCCAAGCTGGTTAAAAAGAAAACTAGTTCAACCCTGCAGATAACCCAATGCACTCTTGTTTCTGCCTTGACTTGGTCTGCAAATTCTCAGGCGGTGAATAGAAAATATTGCCGGACTATTAGACTGCTCAAACACGCAGGCAAACTGATGCGGTGCGTGAATGTGTGCCTGTGTGTGTGAGTGTGTGTGCATGCGTGTGTATGTCTGTATGTGTGTATGCGTGTGCGTGTGTGTGTAAACGCCTGGACATGGCGACTGCTCTACTCTTTGCTGACGACGGTTCTGCGCAGGGGACCAGGAAGGGTGGGGAGGGGGTCCTGGTCAACGAAGACCCCCTCCCCAACCCCGTGCAAACGTACCTGCTGTTCCGCCCTGGGAACCGGCGCGGCCAGTTGGGGAGATACATACACTCTCTCATTTCATTTGGTGAGCTATTCTTGGTGTCTGGCACACCGGGGCAGCACCCTACCCCAACGGATCATTTGTTTTAGCATGCCACTCCTGGTGTCTGGCATGCTTACGCACCAAAACTCATCGTCTTTTCATGTCCTGCTCCTCTGGATTTCCACTGTCTTGCCCTGTCAGTTGTCCATTGCATCAATCCTTGCCAAGCCTGAACGTGTGAGTCTGTGTGTGTGTGTGTGTCTGCGTGCGAGCGAGGGAGTGAGTGAGTGAGTGGGTATGTGTGTGTGGCTGTGTCTGCATGTGTCTTCGTGGGTCTGCGTGTGTCTGTGTTTGCTTGTGTGTGTGTGTGTGCGTGTCTGTGTTTGTGTGTATCTGTATGTGTCTGTGTGTGTGTGTGTGTCCGTGCGTGTGTCTGTGTGTGTGTGTGTGTGTGTCTGTGTGTATCTGTGTGTATCTGTGTGTTTTTCGGGGTGTCTGTGTGTGTGTGTGTGTCGCTCTCTCTCTCTCTCTCTCTGTGTGTCTGTGTGCCTCTGTGTGTGTGTGTATGGTTCCCGTTCATGAACCTAAGCGCGTCACGCCCGTTACACGTCGCTTTCATCTTGCCAGGGGGACGCATGGGGCAGTTGCAAGTAGCTCACTGCTAGTGACTTAGTGGCTAGAACCGGTGACGATGGCGGCTGTTGCAGTCAATTGCTGCGTTTGCTAATACTCTTGCCGTTGCTGCAAATGCTGTTGCAGTAGCCAATGTGACAATTGCTGCTGCTGCTACTATCTGCTGCTACTACTACTACTACTACTACCACCACTACCACTACCTCTACATCTACCACCAACACCAAACGCATACTGATAGCATGGATGACATGATTGGCACCAGATTTGTCACGTGCATTTACCTCTTCCTTCAATCTAAGCCACTGTCCCATCAGCCAAGCTTCGAGACTGCAAAGCACGGAGGAAGTCGCGAAAGACTGCGGACAGCAGCAAAGAAAGGCTTGACACTCATCACCGAGTGACAACAAGATCCGATGCCGCTGCCGCTGCTACTGATTCCACGGCTGGCAAGACCGAATCAGTAGGAGCTTGTGCATCTCATTCCATACTAGCTGATTTGGCTCAGAAGGCAGCTACGGTTCACAACGGTACAGGCAATGGCCGCGCGTGTTGGAACGACACGCTGAGCTTCGTCTTGGCGACATCTGCGTGGTCACCTTCGAGCTTCCCTCTGTTGCTTCACCGTTGTTGGCGCTGACGACGCAGCTTCTGCTGGTGGCCAAAGATGACTCAGAGCATGCCCAGATCATCTGGCTCTATCTGCTGCTTAGCCTGCTTGCAAACCCTGCGCAAATGGGTCGGCATCTGCAAAGGTACACACGGCATCGACCTCACGACGATGCAGCTTCCTCCCTTCAAGCGAAGAGTAATCAGAGATCAATGCAGCCTGGATGCATCACGAATCTCTGCCGAATTCACGCCGCGTGGAAGCACTTCGTCGAGCAGAAGCATCACGGAAGCATCTAACTTCTCGGGGAAGTGGATGTGAATCTCCAAAAAAAGATTGCCACAAATGAACGGCCTGCCCTTCAGCGGCATGCCCTGGCCCTTCACTGCCTTCCAGGCGTTTACAGGCACTCGACTTTCGAATCCGCATCATCGGGTGCGCCGAGTCCCCCCGGCCTTGGTAAATGGGCCGTCCACCTCGAGAACTGGGTCGCCCTTTACGAGAATCCGCCGCCCGTCCAGATGTTGGAGACTGCGCCTGAAACCGCTAAGAGCCTGCCGAGAGTGCACAACTGCCACAAGCATCCCTGATGATCTGCTCCTCCCATCCCACCTCTGCCAGGCCGATGTCCAATTTCATGAAGAGATCGGCTCCTCGACGCCTGAAACGTTGATGCTCCAGCTCGTGGAGGACCACGATCAAGTCCCCCACTTCGCATTCCGGTTGCTCGTCGCCCTTCCAGCGTCTGGTATTGCCAATTCAGTCTGCTGTGCTATGCAATAGGACACGAAAAAGTGATGACCAGCACAAGCCTTGCTGGCAAAGCGGATCGACTCACCGTGTCCGGAACCCCGCTCGACAAAGATTGTGAGTTCCTCCTGTATCTGGACAGCCGTCCTGGGCACCAAAAGATCGAAAAAATCTCTGCAACTGCAGTCCAAGGTCATGCGACCACCTGGGACTGGGGCCAACGGCCGGGTACTGATGCGTCAATCACCCTACGCGTCACCACCATGGTGTGAGTGTACCCGCTGTAGAGCTGCCTTAGGCTAACAGTCTTCGCACGCTTTTCACATTTTCTGTTTGTGGCCCCACAGTCTTTTCGGATGTTTGTCCTACTGATGTCGGAGAGAAAGGCGTGCACCCCTGTGCCCCTGCAACAGCACTGTCCAGTTCTCCGTTGGGGTAACAGGAATAGCATCAGCCCCCGCGGTGTCATTGAAACATCTAAGTATGTATATGTAAATGTGAACAGGCTGAGCCTGTGCTCCGAAGGGGTTGGAAAAAAAAAAAAAAACAAGAAGTCCTCCTTCTGGCGGTGCTTGCGTGCACTGTAACCAGCACAATCAGCTCAACACAAAATTCCGGTTGATGCCCACAGGACAAAATGCATTACCCCTGAGGCAGCTCACACAACAAATCAATCGGGCGGCAAGGACTGGAGCAACATATCCAAAAACACGGTCCAACCTTGGCCCCGCCTTTCTTTGGAGGCAGAAAGGCTTCGAGGTGGGCCCTCAAGCTTCCCAAGGCTTCAACACAACAGTAATGACCCGCGACACTTTAAGTATCGGAGCTGGTCCCACGAACCAAAGCGCTTCTCTCTTGTCCTCTCTCTCCTCTCTCCTCTCTCTCTCTCTCTCTCTCTCTCTCTCTGTCTCAAACTCTTCTTCAGCACAGCCAAAGGAGAAACTTGTGCCCCTCCCTGTTCACTTCTTCTGCAGGGCCACATCGGGTTCCCCCTCCACGTAACTAAGTTGCCTCAACGTATCTAGCCAAAGTAATCAACTAACCACCCGCGTGGAAGTCCCCCGACGTCGAAAATATGCATCTGTGGGGCAGCAGTAGTCGTCGTAGTCGTCGCCATAATCGTCGTCGTCGTAACAACGCCTTAAAGCCTGAGCTGCCATCCTGAAGCACCTGACATGCCTGCACTTTTCAAATCATGTTGGAAAGCCCTGGGACCTGCGCTTCTGTAGCGATAAGCTGTCTAAGCATCATCTGTTGCCTTGTAAAAACACGGACAATCCTCAACAACTCGAACACGCTCGCTCTTGCAATCAAAAGGTGTCGGATGCGTCGTTTCGGGCTGTCCAGTTTGGGCGGCTGCCGAGTGTCTATTTTCCTCAGCCAGAGGCTTTGTCGGTGGAGGCTTCGGCGTCGGAGGAAGGAGGGTTAGAGCCGGGCAGGATGAGGAATCGAGTATGGAGTTTGCCAGGCTGCGGTGCGAAGAGCTGCATCAGGCACAGTTCAGCCAGACTGCTTGGCCGTGGGTGGTCTCGTTGCGTCCGCTTGCCCGGCTCTTTCTGTTGCCCTGCTCGCAAAAACTGCTACTCTTACTCTTCTTCTTATTTGTACTACTACTACTACTACTACTACTACTACTGCTGCTGCTGCTGCTGCTGCTGCTACTGCTACTGCTACTACTGCTGGTGCTGCTGCTGCTGCT